CTCACAGTGCTTTGACACAAATAAATGGTGTAATAATTGTGCAGTATTTTAAATTTGTCAGGCATTAGTTGAAACAGTGCTCTTAACGTTTGCATTAGATGTAATTAACTAATTATTAACATAGAGCAATGAGTTATGGCCCTACTTTAAGATATTGCATGTTGACCATACCAGATTGCATTCAATGTAGCATTACCATCTGGGATGGCATTGTCGTCCTAAGTACACAATTAAATGACTAGGGGAGATTACTTTGTGCGATATTACCTCACAAGCCCTATACTTCTGTACCTGACAATGCTTTTTACGTATATTACATAAACACGCGATGGTAAAATGGGTATAATCACAATGGAAATGTCATTGGAACAAAACTTAGAAGGATTTTTGAGTCATTATAATACAATGCAGAGAACTAATGAATGTTATAAACTCATGGAAACCACAATCGGATGCACATAATTAGCTTCTGTGATGGGTACTTGTCCTTTCCTAATGTGAATGATGTAATTAATTTAAAAAACATAACCCCAGGAAGTCCCATGGACGTCATGTTGGGATTGTTTTTTTTTTCGAACCTGAGATCCGGCGATACTCGTAGCGTACTCTCGACGAAATTAAAGATATACCAGGATATAGTTAATCCCCCAGAAGGATGAACCCTACAAATTTGATTCGAGCAAACACATAAAAAAATAAAGATTTACACGAAACAAATTATAAAAAAGGTCAATGATGTCAAACTGAACCTCTAGCTGATCAAGATTCTCTCCGTAGCGTTAGTCCGTGCGGTTACTTCGCCGTTGACGCTTGCGTTTATAAAATTTTGTGAGTGATCGTTTATGTGATTGTGTATAAAATTTTGTTAACCCACCCTCCCTGCTGCTGTGGTTTTTATCAAGTCCTTTACGATATTTTGACCTCGGATCATGTAAATTTATTGTTATAAAACCAAATCGGATAGCTTGCGCGTGTGCAAAGAATTTTTTTAATTTGTTAATGTCAATGTCCCCAAAACACCAAGTATAATAAATATTTTGCAGCGTATGATTATCAACTCCGTTAAAAACAACTAAAATAGTACAGTTATCACTAATTACTTTTGGAATTTGTGTATAACGCTGTTTATCATAGATCACGTCTGTATTTTTATGCCTGCCTCTGGAAAATATCCTAGCTGGATTTGATTGTTTGTCCAACATGACATGATCGTACCTTACTAAATTATTAATATTTCCATCCAGGTCATCTACAGATGCGCTTTATCAATATCAGTAATGAAATCAATAACGTTACTGTCTTCATTTAACGATTCTGCATTTTCATTAAAATTTTTAAGTACTTCATATCATTGCTGATCATCCACAGATGGTGCTACTAAATATAATTTATCGCACTTCAGCCATCTCATTATCAAATTAAGCAATAATTGTGTTTTGCCTGATCCAGATGGACCTATTATTATCGTTCTAATGGAATTCGGTAGCGCTGGGTGATGCTTTACTGCTCTTGTTTTCGTGTCGCAGTTGTTGTTGTTGTTGGGCTTAACGCCATTTTTCAGCACACGATAGGCTATTCATGGCGGCCAGTATTAATGGTGGAGGAAGAAACCGGAAAAGCACCGGAAAGAACCACCGACCCACGAGAAGCTACTGGCAAGCTTTCTCACATATCCACATTCGCTGAATCCTAGACTCGAACACACGCAGACAGCGGTGAGATGGCAGTGATCCGTAACGGACAGCGCTTTAGACCACTCGGCCACTCGTGTCGCAGAAAAATCACTTATATCCATATAACATATGACATGAACTTATATTGTGTTCGATGTAGGCATGAACATGCACCACTGGATTAACAACAATAATAACAAAAACTAAAAGACGCACACTGACAGGTAAGTGTGAAAAGTGTGGTACAAAATATACAAATTTATTTCCGGACACAGAGTGTCTGGTGGTGATATTGCTGCTTCATTGGGAATGTTACCAAGATTGCCATGGGCAAAATATCCCGGGGAAAACATTTTCCGGGTAATAATTATTGTGGAACAGGAACTCGTTTAGATATTCATCTTGGCAATAAAGTTCAACCTCAGCCCGGCGAATATCCCGTAAACGGAATCGATCAAGCATGTTACGTTCATGATATTGCTTATCGAAATAAAGATTTACAATAGCGACATCTCGCTGATGTAAAATTAATTAATGCCATAAATGCTGTAGAAATAAATTACTTCGAGAAAAATTATGTGCTCTTCTGGTAAAAACTGGTATGAAAGGTAAAATTGTCTTAGGGGCTGGTAATTACTTATATAACTATTATAATGCAGTCCATTTATTATTTCCCGAGAGGATGTTGGAAGTGCAAAGCAGCTATTAGTAAACTTTCTGCAGCTGCAAAAGTCTCACGTGCTGTTAGCTCGACATGCAATATGGCATATATACCTGCCGCCACCTAAAAAAATTAGTATGCGTATTTTGATGTCAGTGTTTACAATGAAGTACATCAAGCAGATGTATTGCTTTTTACAGCACGATACCATTAAAAAACGTGGACGCAAATCACGCACATACAAATACAGGTTAGCTGTCGTTGACTTTGCAAGTAAGATATAAAGAAGCAGAACCAATATCAACAAAAAACATCTGAAGCTACGTCTGCGTTTGAACGAATTCATCAACGAAGATCCGGACCACAAGGTGGTATGCGATGGCCACAGTTACTACAAGTTGATCATGGCAAAGAGTTTATTAGTGCATTGTTATCGTTGTTGATAAATGAACACTTGTTGAGCTGTTATTTGGATATCAATATGCAAAGGAAATATCCACAAATGCAAGATCTGGTGAGTTGGTGGAAAGATTACTATGTTTCATAGCTGCCTTAAATAATGAAATTACTCGTGCAACTTCTATGAAGATTTCAAATGGAATCAAAACCAAACGTATACTCTGCCGCGATAACGGAAAACGACGTGAATAACTAGTGCTAGGTAATGTGACAAAAAGGGATTTATATGGACCTGGTGAACTTGAAGCAGGTAAAAAATAGCAATTGATCCAATCTAGAGTGTCACCACACATAAAATTTCTAGTGTAGTTAGATCTACGGGCAGTCCAGCCATATGATTTGTACATGAATAATTGCAAGTAATTCCTGAAGACATACAATTACCGCTGCGTTCACTTTTGTAAACTAACAGCATTCAAGACAGGTGAGCATCATGTTATCAGGTGTATGACCAAGATCACTATTAATTCTGTCTACGGTAAATTGTTTTGGATTTTTGCAAGAATGCTTCCACAACATGTGACAGTTACAAATTACACAACTTCGGTGTCACTAATAGTTTGATTATTATTTTCTGTTGAGTCTATGATATCTTTGTCTAGTTGATATATTCGTCTAGATGCTGCTAGATAAACTAAATGTAACCATTCTATGCTATCATCGATAATCCAAATATTTGTATTAGTAGTTAGTCCTTGTGACGAGTCAATTATTATAGCATATCCTAGTTCCCATGGAGTTTTATCCATGCTGAACGCGCTTTCCACAACATCAACATTAACTAAAACAATATCATTTAATACAAGATTTTGTTATTCTTTTGTTCCTAAAAATCTCAACATCAATATTTTGTCGTCGAGTGTATGCTTGGCGATAACACAATAGAACATGTAACGTTGGTAATCTTTCTTTATGTAACCGAAATAATGTATCTGGCAATTCATAACGAACTTTCTTTCTACTTGCAAATATTAAATCATTTCGTCTCCATACATTCCAAACATCGTTCACAGGAGTTTCTGGAATTATTTTACGCATTATCTCGCATTGTATTCCATCTGGATGTAGTCTGATTAATGTTTTAAATTCTTTTAGAGGTTCATCAACTGCTCCATGATCATCATTTATTTCTTCATAATAATACACAGATGATTTTAACAACTCATGCGGAAAGTAGTGGTTGACCATGATCGCCGCACATAATTACCGCATTATTTTTCGTTAACAACCAATCGATAAATGTTGCTAGCGTTTCTAACGACACCGTAAAAATCCCATCCCAGATAATGATTTTGGGAATATATTTCTAACCCATTCGTTCAGGTGTCCATATATTTCCACACCATCTAAAGAAGCTATGATAAGTTTGAGATGATGCTTCTCTCTCTTGCTAGTCTATGCGTGGGTGTCAATACAATCATGTCTGACGTACCGTGCCAAAATAATTAAATAGCAAGTGTTGTTTTTATCAGTACCTCCAGGTCCGTCAAGATAAATGGTTTTATGTCTGACTACGGCTTCAAATACACATGGTGATATTGATAGTGGTATCTGATTGTCGTTAACGTGGTATATTTCTTTGATATCAACGTCGATCGTTTCAGAATAATCGTGAATAATCTCTTGTTTAATTCTCCATGATCCCCATTCGTCGCAACCGAGTGAGGGTTTTATCAAATCTAAATATTTTTTTAAATATAAAATTAATCCGTAGCAACTCTGACAGCGTGACAAGTAAATATATTTATCATCGATAATAAATTTATAGAAACGTACGCGAGCATAGATCTTAAATGAGTAAACTGGGGTGACTCACCATCGATATAACTCACGATTGTACCTAGTTTGGTTCCGTCTGACAAATAAACATTATTTCTGCTGATAAATATTCCTTTGCTCGTTGTATCTATAATTATAAAATCTAACCCAGCATCATTCATTATTAATCTTATGTAGTGTCGTTTATAATGAAATGATGTTCCTTGAGTAAATTTACCAATTTTTTTTCTACCGAGATCTTTGTTGTGTTAACCAAATTTGCTTTTGCGAATGATATGATATACTACTTTCGCTTACACTCAGTGATATTAAAATTCTCACATCAAGCATGCATCGTAATACTATGTTGGAACCTAATATTTCTTGAGAAACGTCTACCAAACCACGCGTAAAAGATCGGATGATGATTGTTACAAAACTTAAAAACCGCTCCGGTGGCCTAGTGGTTTGATCTTCCGGCTCGGATATAGGAGGGCGCGGGTTTGAACCCCGGCCGAATCATACCAAAGACTTAAAAAGAATGGTACTAACAGCTGCCTCGCTTGACGCTCAGTATTAAGAGATTAGTGTTAGAACTGGTTGGCTCGGTGTCAGGATAATGTGACTGGGTGGGACATCATGCTACATATCTGCGGCATGATTCCCCAGTGCTATACATCACTATAAACTTCCACACTGCAGACATCGTAGCGATATGACTGAAAAATTGTCAAAGCTGCATTCAAAATCTAAATCACACATCAGACACAATACTTAAATGATTTTACTCAAGAAAATCCGGTAAAAATCAAAATCAGGTAATGGTTCATTTATCGCAAGTATTGTCATATCATGTGTCGGATGACCAAATCACGCAAAATATTCAGAACAGTATCCGTATCTAACAAAACTTGCAGTAAAACATGCAACCAATGATGACCAAATCACGCAAAATATTCAGAACAGTATCCGTATCTAACAAAACTTGCAGTAAAACATGCAACCATGTCAACCGATATAACTTTACGATGATTGTATCGGGTATTCCATAATCCGCCATGTGCATATTCGAAACAAAGATGCAGAATATTTTCGAGGAATTCTGATCGTGTCGTTTTCAATTATTTTCTTGAGCAATGTGAGCCGCATAAGATGGAAATGTAACACAATTATTTAGTAATTGTTCAACTTTAACATCGTCAAAATTATATTTCTGTGCAAGATTCTTCATTTTTACATGGAGAGATTATATACGGTAAATCTCTTCACTGGGTTTTACAAATTGATCGTAATATGCGGATTCTGAGATCTGAAGAAAAAAAAACCCAAACAGATACAGAGTCGCTCTTACTGATATCACCGATAGCGTCAAATATATAATTGTCATAAAACCTGACTATTCTGTCTCGTGGAAATATTGTTACATAATCATTCTATGTATGTGCGTTATTATCAATGATTGTTATTGGAGTTCTGTGTGTTATATTTCGGTTTGTATAAAATTTATCCGGTTAGTGTTTTTACTGTTATTGGAAATCTTAATTTCTTTTCTAGCTTAGCAACGTCAATGATATTTTCGGTATCTTTAACTATTATTGCCTACGCATTTAGTTTTACGTCTTAATTCAGTTTCCGCTATTTACTTTTGAGAAAGTTCCATTTCTCGCTCAGCTACGTAGTTTAGTCTGCCTGACGTAGTCAAGGAGGACAATTTCAATGGTTTGAGATTATCAGCGTTAGGTTTATCATTTAGTGGATATATTGAACAGATAGCCGCAGTAACTTGATACGCTCGCTCATAATTAGGTTTATCAATACCGGTCAGCGTATCTGAATTGGGTTTGTTGTCTAATGTAACAGTATTATTCCAGAATGAAACCGTATCAGTTCGCGCGTTTGTCACGTATAATCCAAGTGTCATCATCTGTCTGCACAATAAATGTTTACTAAAATATTATATCTCTGATTTTTTAAATAGTTGATATTATTTTACCTCGTTCGTCACTCATTATAGCGTCGACAACACTGGTGTCTTTCATGATCCTGAACGTTGACCAAGCATAAGCCGCACCATCATTGCGAAATTCTTTTTTTTACCTTCACAGATACGATCGATTATATTGCTATTTATCAAAGCCAGATCTTGCATTGAAAAATTAAATTTAGATTTTTGGTAATTTATCATGATCAAATCTTGCAGTGGAAGGTTACAATTGCGACTTTTGTACGTGATTATTAGAATCAGTTTTAAATGTGACAATTTCATCATTCATTGTTTTTAATGATGTCACCGTCGGAATGTTGCTATCGTCAACTTTTGTTTTCGTTGCAGCGTCATTTTCTGGTGTTCTGAGATTATTAATACCGTTATTATTCATGTTAAGAAATACACGCATTATACCACCGTTAGCTATTATAAACTTAGATTTTTATAATCGACGTATATTTTTGTTATAGCGTCTATATCTGCGACTGGGTTTCCAAGGTCCGTAATTCATTTTGATTGATGATAATGTTAACAGTGAATGATTCACCAGTTTTCCTGATATAATCGTTCACTGACGTACCGGAATCTTATATTTTGCCATGATCAGTGAAATTAACGATATTATTAACAACCGCGGTGGGAATTCGTATGAACACATCTGGCAGTTGTATCTTACTGTTTTTAATCGTCCTTGTTTATCCTGAAAAACAACGACTTCATTTTGATCAATACTTGTAATGTTTAGCAAATCATCTCTTTAATTTCTGAGTTGGTCAAGAGTTGCATATTTAGATAGGTCACCTTACTGGGTTTTGCTGTAAGAAGATCTCTCGTAAATGTCTACCGTTATATTTACTATTGCATGTTTGAAATGTTTGACAATGTGGTATACTCGTGCACAATTTTATGAGGGGGTTTTCCTGGCGGTGCCAAGGGATACAGCGTCAAATACAGCGAGGGTTTCACGGCCACATATTGGCAGATCTGTTCATTTTTGAGCTGATAATGTTGAATACCAAATTGGAATACTTTGCATGTTGCCAAAATATTTTAAAAATTCTTTTGGTGGTGCCAGTCCAAACGAATCGAAATAAATAATTCCACGTGGATCAATCGCGTATGCAATCCAGTGAGTATTTAGGACAGCTATTTTATCGAGATTAATAATACCAGTTTCAATATTGTTTGGTTTGTGCGGTAAATGATCCCGCATTAAAACATCTCTGAAGATTTTTATGTTTAATTTTTAGCAGCATTAAGCAAATCAAAATTGAACATGGGAAGAATCAACAAGGTATCGTTCCTGGCAGTCTTAGACAGCGAACATGTCGTGGGCCTGACAATCTTAGCCCGATGGGCTGCCGCACGTTTGGTGCTCTTAGACGTTTTGCGTGTTGTTGTTTTCATTTTATAAGCTTTCTGCGTGCATGATTCCTGTCCAGTTGTTTTTCTTCAGTGTTATCCCAGCAGCAGTTCCAACAGCACCAAGCTTGGATGCTTTTGAAACAATTGGGGATGCAGCGGCTATTAATGCTGGTATAGCTGCAAGAATTGAAAATATACGTCCCGTCTTAGTGATATCTTTAATGGCACCCGCAGAGAAATTACGTCGTGTACCAGTCTTCGATTGCTTGGCTTTATTAAAGTGTTTGGGTTGACGTTCTGATAATGCTTGGACCACCTGCGATCTGTTCTTTTTTCAGTGATATGTTTACTCCACAATTATATTTTGATGCTAATTGTAGCTTTTTAACCTGACCAGGAGTCAGACTGACACTAACATGATGATAGGACATTTTGACATTATCATATTTGATCTAATTACATGTTTTGTTACTGTGGAATGAACAGCTTAACATTAATTTATCTGAGCGTATAAGAGCGACTGCTCTCTAACCACTAGGAATAAATGGTTTACCGGCTGCTCTTGGTGGTTACCATGCTACACGAGCTCGGAAGTATATATCAGCGAAATATTGCCTAAATAAATCTAACTGTTCCAAAGAAAAGTAATAAATCGGATACAGCGTGGTTACGTCACGCGGAGATATCTGCATAACAGAATCAATATCTTGATCGCATCCAATGAATGTCATTAACTGATGATAAGCACGTGCTACATGATTGCGATCAAAACTCAGTAAAATATCCTCAGCTGATTTTTAATGCCCATTTTTCCTTAAAGAAACTTTACTAACTCCAAAACCGCACCTGTGGCCTAGTGGTTAGAGTGTCCGCCTCGGATGCGGAAGTTCGTGGGTTCTATCCCCAGTCGAGTCATGCCAAAGGCTTACAAAAATGGTATGTACAGCTGCCTCGCTTGACGCTCAGCATTAAGAGGTTAGTGTTAGGACTGGTCGGCCTTGTGTCAGGATAATGTGACTAGGTGGGACATTATGCTACATGTCTGCGGCATGATGCTCCAGTGCTAGACATCAATATAAACTGCTACACTGCAGACATCGTAACGATATGACTGAAAAATTGTTTAAGCTACTTTACAAATCATATCACATCACATGACTAACTCCAAGTGTGTCAAATGCAATTGGATTTCGTGTTTGATTACCTTCTCGTGCATTTTCCTGAAATGCAATGATTACATGTCTCAGTGCAAAAATACCCTGCTATGATGATATATGCCATATTAATAAACCGACAACTTCACATGAAGTAATACGTGGTCAGCGTCAACTATAATAGCATTGATTTACCACCTTGACTCATAAAAGAAAGTAGACGTTCTTCTTCAGGTATTGTTGGAGTCATTACTGGCATACACAGCGAAATTTTTGTTAGTCTTACATACTATACATGCACCAACTGCATAGGGTCGTCAGATTGCAACATTGTCGTCGTCTTTTCTAACAAGTGCAACTGTATGCTTGGCTTCGAAAATAACCTTTCTGACATATATGCAAAAACCAAATATATGCGACAACGGAATTGCGCAGAACAATTCATCTTCATCATTTAACATTGATCGACGTGTTAAAAATCCTAAGTTGAAATTTTCATTCATTGATAATACTGCAGAAGCATCAGCAGCTCCTCCTGCAGCTCTTACGTTACCTATAGTTACGTTATTGCCTTCTGGATTATCAGTTGTATCCTTTGCAAACATCAATGACTGACCCGCCGATCTCGAGTAATCATCGCTGTACCTTGCAAGTCTAGGTATTGTCTTGGCAATATCGATTTATACTGAATTGAATAAATATTTATTCCGTCAATCATGTATGTGACGCTTTTAAATAAAGCCATAATACCATTGTGAACAAAACCAGGTATATCCGATTTCTGTATCATCTGCTTGTAAAAGTCTACCTTCTACTTCAATAAATGCCATAGCGAGTAAGAAATATTTTCTTGCATCCTGAACTTGTAGATCAATTTTCCCACGTTTTTTTGGCTCTTGCGTGTCATAAAAATAATACTGATAGTCGCACACAGACTTATCGTTGAGAACTGGTTCGTCCACGTCGAATGCTGTATCAGATATACGTTTGAACATTTTTATTATATTTGTTATTGT